CGACATTTTCCCTCGTGCAGCGCCTTCCCCCCTCCACCTGGGAAGTCGGGGAGGACGTGGGGGCAGGAAGTCCCGGGCAATCGCAACATTAAGTATTGTCACAAATAATCACTTTTGCAAATAACCCATATGCTGGGGCCTTGAACAGGCTTTGGTGTATCTGGAAATACTACCTAGCAATGAAAGAGATCTATAAAAGTACTTTCCAAAACCCCAAATTATGCGCCTGCTCACTGAATATGAAAGCGAGTAGGTAACAGAATTGCCAGCATTTTGAAGGCTGGGAAGTAGCGTTGCTGCCTCCGGTTTTGCCCCCAGAGCAGGTGCCCCGGTTCCGTCCCCTGCAGGCCTGCGCCGAGGGACGCCGTCCACTCCTCTCCCCGGGGCACACAGGGTGGCGGGGCTGCCATGCACCCCGAGGTGAGACGCACCCCGAGAAAGGCGCATCGCCGGGCACGTCATTCCTTCCCCTGATTTGCAGGTGCCAAAAAAGTGGAAAGGTTTTCCACGTGAACACGTTTCAGAAACTATTTGTAAAAACATGACAGTTACCAGGACGTGTCCTTGGGGTTCGTGTAAGTCGGTGACGGTACCACTGGAGTAACTCCGACTCGTCGTGAACGTGAGCCCTTGATGATGACGTCACAGGAACCCAAAGACCCGGGGCTGTCGGGGGAGGCCCACGTGACTGTGAGCCCGGAGCAGGTGTCTGAGCCCGCACGCCCGGGGGGCGCTCCGTGCGCCTCTGTGGGCGCCGTCGCTGACCATCCAAATGGCCCACCGTGGAGGGGCCGGGGGAGCAGGGTGGGCTCCGTGGTAGGGCCTGGCACACACCAGCTGTGAGCCAGTCTGACCCGGGGGAGCAGGACGTGAGTCACTGTCTGTGCCTGACGCGAGGGGTGGCGATCGCGGCCCCAGCCGGCCTGGGCAGCACACTGGCAGCGGAGGTCTCTGCATCTGAAAGGGTGGCTGCCGGTTCACCCAGGACCACTGTTCCACCCGTGGATCTAACCTCCTGTTGAGGCCAAATCTTCCCGTTTTTAAAAAGAAGTCCGTGTTTGTATGGGTACTGTTCCACTCCCCGGTGTTCTCGCCACCGCACCCAAACCCCCTCTCTGCTGGGGTCACCAGCGTCCCACCTCTGTGTTCAGAGCCACGCGGGACTGCGGCGCTGGCAGCAGGTGGGGCTCCTGAGAAGGCAAATGCCACTTGTGTGTGCCTCGGGGCCAGCGGCAGACGGACGCATTCACCTCGTAATTAAAAATAACAGACTATATCTTCCAGTCAAGCCAGCTTTGCTTTTTCTAGAATCCACCATCTCCTTTCAAAACTCAGTTGGTGCCTGGCCGGTGTGGCTCAGTGGATGAGCATCGACCCTGCACCAGGAGGTCACTGGTTCGATTCCTGGTCAGGGCACATGCCCAGGTTGCGGGCTAAATGCCCAGTCAGGGGCATGCAGGAGGCGGCCAATCAATGTTCTCTCTCATGGATGATTCTCTCTCTCTCTCTCCCTCTTCCTTCTTCTCTCTCTAAAAATAAAGAGAGAAAGAAAGAAGAGAGAAAGAAAAATTTTTAAACAACTCAGTTTTTTAAAAACAGAAAATAACTCCGTCGTACCAACGTGGAGCTTAACCCTGAGCCCTGCAGGAGGACGGAGCACAACCCTTCCCTGGTCATGGAGGGACACCTCTTCCGGGAGCCCTGCCTTCTCACAACTCTCCGGGCTGCCAAGTAGAGCTCCTCCGTGTCACATCAGCCAGATCTGGGTCCTGTGGCCACCGCCAACTGCCAAGGATCATGGGGAAGGGGAGTGGGCCATGGCAAGCTACGCACGAATGTCACCCATGGCACTGAGCACACCGCTGCCGCCCCAAACACAGTGAAAGCTCTCCGCAAGGAAGGAGAGAGGGGTTGATGGTGGCCGGTCACCACTGTCTGCCATGGCTGTGCCTGCCTGCCTGCCTGCCTGCCTGCCTTCCTTCCTTCCTTCCTTCCTTCCTGCCTTCCTGCCTTCCTTCCTGCCTTCCTGCCTTCCTTCCTTCCTTCCTTCCTGCCTGCCTTCCTTCCTTCCTTCCTTCCTGCCTTCCTTCCTGCCTTCCTTCCTGCCTTCCTTCCTTCCTTCCTTCCTTCCTGCCTTCCTTCCTTCCTTCCTGCCTTCCTGCCTTCCTTCCTGCCTTCCTGCCTTCCTTCCTTCCTTCCTGCCTTCCTTCTTTCCCTCCTTCCTTCATTCCTGCCGGCCTCCCTCCCTGCCTTCCTTCTTTCCTTCCTTCCTTCCTTCCTTCCTTCCTTCCTTCCTTCCTTCCTTCCACTCAATAAACACTTCAGAGCAGTTATTAAAGGCCAGGCCCTGTGCTAGGCTCTAAGTGCCTGTGCAGAAGGAGCTGCAGGCGCCAGGGCGGCAGCTGGACAGCAGCGTGGAGGCTGCGCGGTCATCCAGAGATCATGGCTGGACAGCAGGGTGGAGGCTGCGCAGTCATCCAGAGATCATGGCTGGAGAGCAGGGTGGAGGCTGCGCAGTCATCCAGAGATCATGGCTGGACAGTGGCGTGGAGGCTGTGCTGTCATCCAGAGATCATGGCTGGACAGCGGCGTGGAGGCTGTGCTGTCATCCAGAGGTCACCGACTGCCTAGACCAAGGCGGTAGCATCTTTAATCCATTAAAAAAAAAAAGAACAGAAAAGAGGAGGGAGCCAGCGATGTCTCCCCGGTAAGTGTGCCCTTAGCTACTCGTGTAGTGTAGAAGCCAGAAAGTTTCCATTCAGATGTGCTCTCCTCTAACGCCTGCCTGAATCCCGTACTGTGGAGGGCGATTCCCGAGCTGTAGGGCAAGGACCTCTGAACCTATACGTCCCCTTTCCCTGTGCCTTGCAGGCTCCTTATCTGCGGCACGTGCGTGTGAGAAGTAGTGTGAGGGCCTCAGCACGATGCCTTATTTCAGGGTGCGGTTACTGAATTAAACATACATGGTGGATGATGGTGCTTTCCTTCTGGGGTTTAAAAACCAGGGCTTAATCCAAGAAGCCTGCCTGCTGGCTGTTCTTGTTAACCGGCCACCTGTTGGCCCTGTGGCATGCCGTGGCCGTGGATGGCCGGGCAGACCCTGGCGGATGAAATGCAGGAGGCCGCAGAGGCGAGTGTGAACGGAGGGAAGACACAGACGGCAGTCTCGGTGACCTGGAGCAGCCCACAAAAGGGGCAAGAAAGACCTACTGCTTTTCCAGCCACGTCCACTGAGCCCGCCAGGCTCACAGCTATTCCTGTCCACAGGGCTCTTGGTCCACTGGGCGTGGGCATTACAACTGAGGTGCCCTCTCTGGGGAAAACCACTGGCAGGTCAGCGCTTCTCGGTGAGGGGCCAGATGCTCGCTGTGCAAAGAAACTTGTGCGGCAGGTAGGCACGCTTTACTGCAGTTCTCAAACCACAGCGAGGCGGGCAAGGCTGCGGCACGGGACATTCACATCAGGTAGTCTCTCTCGCTGTCCACGCACCCCACCACCGGCCACCCCCTCTTCTTTCATTCCTTCCAGCTTGAATTTCTGTCATTCTGGCCTAGAGTCGTCCTTCAACAGACCAGAGCGATCATCCAAACCCCACGGACCCATGCCAGTCGCACAGGAGTACTTGGTGGGAACCTGGCCATAAAGGGCGAGGTTCTCCTGAACAGTGCAGATGTTAGGAACTAGGGCACATCGGGGATATGTTTGGTCCAGTCTCATTTTGCAAACAGGTGGGCATGCAGAGGCCTGAGGTCGCATATGACTGACCAGGCCACGGGGATTCAGGGGCAGTCAGAGTGACCAAGAGTGGGTTCAGGAGCCATGGTCACTGGACATGTGTTTTCACTGGGCAATGAGGCATCTCTCCCGCAGAACAATGCTGCTTCGTCCTCCCTCTCCCCCTGCCATGTGTAGGTATTTTATTTCATTTCAGGTGTTTCCGTTTTCCTCCTTTGCTGAAAAAAATGAATGGAATCGAAAGACACTAAGAAAACTTTCGTCCATCATCCATATGAAAAATCTCGGGGCCACAGGCCACTTGGCTGCACATTGCTTTGACCCCTGGGCATCACCAGCAGGCTGCATCGTATCTGGAAACCCCATCTCTTCTGTGTGATCAGCATTTCCGCGACTTGCTTCTGCCTGCCACCTGGTCCTCTTGGCACACACGGAATCCGCAAACACGGCTGAAAAGAAAGCGATAATCTAGCCACCCCAGGAAGAAGGACACCTTTGCCAGCCTTCATTTTAGGAACTGGGGCTCATGCTCTACAAACGGGGTTTACTTTGCTGCCAACCCTTTGTTAAGAGCGAGGTGGAGACAACAAGTCAGGGGTGGCACCGACAGCCCTGGGTCGCCCCTATGGCCAGACCCGGCCCCTGCTCGGCAGAGACCTGCCATGCCCGCGGGGGCCGCCAGGGGCGCTGTGGCCTGTGACTTTCCCTGCCCTGCCCAGCACAGCCCTGCCTTGCTGTGCCCGTGGGGGCCGCCAGGGGCGCTGTGGCACTTGCCTTTCCCAGCCCAGCCTTGCCCAGCACTGCCCTGCCCTGCTGTGCCCTGCTGTGCCCGCGGGGGCCGCCAGGGGCGCTGTGGCCTGTGACCTTTCCTGCCTTGCCCTGCCCAGCACTGCCCTGCCCTGCCCTGCCCTGCTGTGCCCTGCTGTGCCCGCGGGGGCCGCCAGGGGCGCTGTGGCCTGTGACCTTCCCTGCTTTGCCCTGCCCAGCACTGCCCTGCCCTGCCCTGCCCTGCCCTGCCCTGCCCTGCCCTGCTGTGCCCTGCTGTGCCTGCGGGGGCCGCCAGGGGCGCTGTGGCCTGTGACCTTCCCTGCCCTGCCCTGCCCTGCCCTGCTGTGCCTTGCTGTTCCCGCGGGGGCCGCCAGGGGCGCTGTGGCGACTGCCTTTCCCAGCCAAGCCTTGCCCAGCACTGCCCAGCCCTGCTGTGCCCGCGGGGGCCGCCAGGGGCGCTGTGGCGCGTGCGCGTTGGCGGGGACAGCGGGCACCGCCCCGTCCCAGAATGCTGTGCGGGTAAACAGACATGGCTGGCGAGGGGGACCCGCAGGACGCTGCGCACGACATGGGAAACCACCTGCCGCTGCTGCCTGGTAACCGCCGGGGGGCCGGGGCGGGCCGGGCGGGCCGGGCAGGCGCGAGTCCCCAGCCCGCGGGCTGCGCGCGGGGTCCGGGGGGTCCCGGGGTGGCCGAGGCCGGGCGGGGCGCAGGGGCCGGGCCGCGGCCGGCACCTCCCGGGCGCGCCCTCCCTTCGGGGTGACAGCCAGCGCGCCCTGAGCGCGCACGTCCTCGCCGAAACCCCCGCGACCTGGGGGCGCAGTTCGGGGCGGCCCGGGTCGCGCGGTGCGGAGCCGGGACCCCGACCCGCGTCTTAGCTGTGCAGACTGTCGCCGCGTGCGGGGCACGACCTGCCCTGCAGGTGTCTCAGCCCTTCGGCCGCGTTAGCTCAACCCCCGCGGCGTCGGGTGGGGGTGAGAGGCGGGGCACTCCGCCTGGGCTTCCTGGAAGTGTGACTGTGACGGGGACACCTAGGGGCGTGCTCTGCGCCCTTCAGGGGGCAGGAGGGTGCCAGGTACCAGGCGACATCCCGAAGTGCGTGCTCAGGACAGGGCGGCAGGTAGGCGGGAGAGGGAGAGGGGGGTGGGGAGCTTGCATCTCGTGCTGTCGGGTTGGGGGTTTTCTGTGCAAGAAACAACTGGGTTCATGCAGTTGCTTAAGGAAAATGGTGCTTGGAGGGTAATTTGTGCGCCGGGAGTTGTGTGGTTTGGAGGATGAAGAGGCTGAGCGCAGGCGCACCAGGCAGGAGGGACCCACCGTGCAGGAATAGACCGGAGTCAGAGGTTGATCTGAAGCCAGCAGCTGAGTGTGAGCGAAGCGTGTCAGCCCTCCCTGAAGAGCCGCCATCGCCCCTGTCTGCACCTGCCTCACGGGGGTGTCAGGGAGGGGGTTCACCTGGTGCTCCCGGGTGACCCAGTCCTCGGAATTCACTGCTGCTTCCAGCTGTCGGTGTGTTTGTCCCGGAAGTCAGGACGCAGAGAGGGCCCAGAGAGGGTGTAGGTACCATCAGTGCTTTTCTGAATCATACAAGCGTTATTTACAAGGTAACGTTGATCCATGCCCTGCGAGTTGTTTGAAAGAGTAATCCTCTTTATGTGCTAAGGAAACAGCTAAATATTTAAGCTGCAACGAATCTACCTTGGCCAAGGAAACACAAATAGTTAAACAGCCGCATAGGGGAAGTGGGTTTCAGCCTTATTTGTGAGAAAGGCTATTATATGTAGGGAAATCATTTAGTGACTAGAAGTCAGAACAGTTGAAATGTAAATTTATAAATTATGGATTCTGGCCTTTGCTCTAATGGCGGATCTGTTGTTACACTCTCTCTCTGGTAGAGCTTGTGGGTTTCTCCCATGCTAAGTGGGAGCCATGCTGTCAAAATCCTAATGCAAGGAATTGGATTCGGAATATTTGTATCATCGGTTTAAGTTTTTCTTTATCTCTTGGTGAAACATCTGTGTTCTTAGGAAAATTTTATACCTATATGAAGCGTTAGACATCTGACCACTTGAATATAAGATGACATAATTATGTTCTCTTTGACAAAGTCTTATGTCTAGGGAGTCTTAAGAATTAATAGAAAGTCCAAGGCAGTTACCATATTGAAAGATGTTTGTATTTTCTGGTCAGGGATCTAGCTGGAGGTAATTTGATTTACATAATGATATACACAAAGGAAATGACTCTTTTGTGATGACATTTTATCTATTTAAAAGATTATTTGGGGCATTTAGAAATACATGAAATATGAGGTCAGAAATGAGATTCCCTAAATCTTTGTGGTTATTTCAGGCCAGGGTTTCTCAGCCTGGCACTTTTGACCTTTTGGGCTGGAGAAGTCTTTGTTGTGGGACCGTCCTGTGGCTTGTTCAGCAGCATCCTGTCTGTGCCCACTCCAGGCCAGCATGACTCTCCTGGTCCTGACAACCAGAAACATCTCCAGACATTCCCCAAATCCCCCAAGGGGCCAGCTCCCCCTGGTGGAGCCCCGCTGGTGTAGGGTAGAAGTCCCCCGGAGCCAGCATGTAAAAGACCCCGTTTGACAGAACGGCACCTATTTCGTGCAGCTTTTTCTAACTTTCTGCACCTGTTGTTAGCAACATCAGGTTTTAAAGTAGGTCAGCTTAGTTTTCATAATTTAAAATTTATGTGCGGAGAAAGCTCTCTAAGACATTTATTTTAAAATATGTTTTCTCTCATGCACACTTGAAGTAAAATTCCAAAGCAAACGTTGTATGAAAAAGATTGCAGACACTTTATTTTCAAGTAACTTTAAATGTAAAATTACAAAGCAAAATTCATGTGGAAAAGTGCAGACATTTTCGAATCGTGCAGTGACGGCCAGGGAAATGATGTCACTGCTGTGGCTGTCTCTCTGCCCGGCAGTGTCTTTTTTCTGTTGTGATTAATGGATCTTTCCTCCATCCTGTCTTCTGTAGGAACTTTTTAAAGTGAAAGTTTGAAAGAACCTTAGAGGTCATCTTACTCATGCCTGTCCCTTCTCAGATGAGGAAACTCAGGTTTAACCAGGTGGAATGAGTTGCCGCAGGGGTCAGTCAGTCACCGGGAGAGGAGACAGTGTCTCACAGAACTGCAACAGTGTGTAGGGATGGCCCTGTAAGGGGGTGGGCCCTGCACCCCTGCACCCGGGCTGGGTCTGCTTGGGAGTTCCCCCCACCAGGAAGGCCGCAGTGGAGCCCCCCACACACGACCTCAGCTGGCTGGTCCCGGTCACCCTGTAGTCTTCCTCACAGAACTGGTGACCTCAGTCTGGTCCTCGGGGTACATCACATGAAATGCCTGCCCAGAACTCCCCAACTCTGAGGTGTGAGGAGCCCGCCCGGCGCGGCTGAGGGGACGAGTACCGAGCGCGTCTCCTGGGCGGGTCTGAGCAGAGGGGACGGCGGGGCAGGCTGAACCAGGTGAGGGCGGAGGGCGCCAGGCCGGGTCCCAGAGCCACGGCCGGCTCTGTGAGCGGTGCCAGGTGAGCAGGAGCACAGCTGAGAGCTCGGCTGCTCCAGCCGAAACGACCGAGAAAGCAGTGAGTGGCCGAGCCCGGCACCGACCTGGCACCTGGCGGCCTCCTGCCCGGGCTGCGGAGACTGCTGGGCAGGGCGGTGTTCGGAGCCGGTGCTCCGGGCTCCGGCCCTGGTGGAGGGACTGTGCCTTCCACGGGAGCACAGCTCTGACGTCACCGTGCACCGGGCTGCTCTGTCCTTCCACAGCAGAGAGCGAGGAGGACGAGATGGAGATGGAAGTCGAAGACCAGGACAGCAAAGAGGCCAGGAAGCCAAACGTCATCAACTTTGACACCAGTCTGCCGACCTCGCACACGGTACGTAGTCCCGCAGGCCAGCGGCTAGACCCCAGGGGCGGACGCGGCAGAGACACGCCCCGCTGCGGCCGCCACAGGCCCGTCCTGGTGTGCTTCTCTGAGGGACGGTCGCCCCTCCTGTGCTTCTCGCCTCTGCTCCCTGTTGAACCTGCCAGCTCTTACACTGGTCACTCTGACATTTGGACGTAGAGATGTTCTTTATCTTAGACAAAATAAAATGTTTTGAACATTTATAAAAGGGCTTGAATTTGTACGTGAGATCCTTACAGTATACTGGAAATTGTAAGAGTCAGAATTAGAGCTTCACGCCGGCTGCTGGTCCAGCAAGTTTGTTGCTATTTAAGTCAGTGTGTCCCTGTCCCTGTTTCCGGGTGCCCTGTCCCGTGTCCGGGCACCGTCCCTGTGTCCGGGTGTCCTGTCCCTGTGTCTGGGAGCCCTGTCCCTGTGTCCGGGCGCCCTGTCCCTGTGTCCGTGCACCCTGTCCCTGTTTCCGGGCACCCTGTCCCTGTGTCTGGAAGCCCTGTCCCTGTTTCCGGGCGCCCTGTCCCTACCTGCGCCCGGTCCCTGTGTCCGTGCACCGTCCCTGTGTCCGTGCGCCCTGTCCCGTGTCCGGGCGCCCACCTGTTGCCGAGTGTGGAGCGCGGTGGTGCCGGCTCCCTGACGGCCCCGCGTCTGCCCGCAGTACCTGGGTGCGGACATGGAGGAGTTCCACGGCCGGACCCTGCATGACGACGGCAGCTGCCCAGTGATCCCGGTGCTGCCGCAGGTGATGCTGGTCCTCATCCCCGGGCAGACCTTGCCGCTGCAGCTGTCCCGCCCACAGGAGGTCAGCATGGTGCGGAACCTGATTCAGAAGGACAGGACCTTCGCTGTTCTGGCCTACAGGTAGCACGTCCCGGGGGCCGGCTTCTCCCAACCAGCCTTGTCGGTGGGCGCCGCGGGGGCTCGGTCCGGCCAGAACTGACTGCCCGCCCACCCGGGAGCTTGGGCGGGGTGGGAGCCAGCAGTGTTGGTGGGAAGATTGAAAGTCGGGGTGTTTTCGTCACCGTCACCTCTAACCAGATGTGCACCTTCGTGCACGATTGATTGCCGCTGTTTGAAATTTTTTATTCATTAATATTTAATGAAAAAACATTTCTAGAAACTTATTTATTTATTTATTTATTTATTTTGGTACGTGCCCTTAGCCGCTAGGGCCTAGTAGGAACTGAACCTGGAACTCTGGTCCGCAGGCTGACTCTCCAGCCTCTGAGCCAAACCGGCCAGGGCTCTAGAAACTTATTTTTAAGACCTCTCTGTGTTTAAAGGCAAAGAGGGCTTTTACATTGTAACGTGAAGGAGGACTTTTACCGAGGAGTGGCTGTTGGCTCTCAGAACTCCTGAGTTGTCCATTGCAGACCTTGGTGAACTGAAGCCGAATTCCAGGTGTCCTGTGGCTGCGTAGGAAGTCGCTGGGCAGGAAATGACTGGGCAGCCCCCGCCCCCGTGCAGTGTGTGGTGCACAGCAGCGGGAGGAGGCGCGGCTGTGTGGGGGGCTGCTGGCTTCGGGAGGGGAGCGTTGGCCGGGGTCGCCGCCAGGGCTGGAGCTGTGCTCTTTCCCTGAAGCGCCTTGTCCTTTGTGAGGCCTCCCCTCCCCCGGTCTGCACCCCCAGTGTTGAAGGCGGAACAGCCTGCAGTGCTGGCTCCCCACGCGCATGGCTTTCAGCAGCAGCTGTGCATGTCGGCAATGAGATGTTCAAACGGTTCCTTTTCCAATTTGCCTTGGAAGCCACCCGCAGGAAAGGGAGGCGCAGTTCGGAACCACCGCGGAGATCTACGCCTATCGGGAAGAGCAGGAGTTTGGGATTGAGATAGTGAAAGTGAAAGCAATCGGAAGACAGAGGTTCAAAGTCCTGGAGCTAAGAACACAGTCGGATGGGTAAGAAACACTTTCTCTTCAAGCTGGGCCAACGCCTGGGGATGACTTGGGTTTCTTCTGTTTTCTTTCTCCTGACGTTCACACTGTGCAACTTTGTAACTAGTTGCTCCTTCCCTGGAAGCTCCAGCCTAGTGGTCTGCAGACAGGCTGCATCCAGCCACTTGGGAGGTTTTTAAACTGGCAAAGTCGAGTGCCAGCCTCATGCCTACCCCTGGGGAGCCAGGGGACTGGGGCGAGGCTGCAGCCTCTTTTCCGGGATTTCCAGGGGACTCTGAGCCCCTTGCAGGTCTGAGACCCTGGGGCTCTGAGCCCCCGCAGGTCTGAGAGCCCCTGGGGCGTGGCTTCTGGGATTGAAGGCCTCTCTTCAGAGAGAAAGGGTGGCAGCCAGAGGCTCCTGGGCTGTGTTCCTGGGGACGCCAGTGTGTGTGGCGTCCCTCGGGTATGCTGCACGAGGGCCATGCTGGTCCCAGCTGTGCCATCCGAGCCGTAGGGGCCTTCGGTGCCCGTCTCCTGTGCAGATCTCACAGCGCTGGTGTGTGGCCTGCACCGTGCGTGACCGTCTGTGCAGTGGGCTCTGCCTTGTAATCTTGAGATAAGTTTAAGGAATGCTGAACTCATTTTTAAAAATGCAGTTCACCTTACTTTATCCTCTTAAAAAACAGTGTTTGTCCTGTGGTTGCCTGTCATCTCGTGGGCGTGGTCCTCAGCTCTGGCACCCGAGACCCCCGGGGAGAAGGGTGCAGGTCCTTGGTCCTGCCCAGTCCTGGTGCAGTGCTCTCGTCTGACCTCGCGTCTGAACACGTGGAGAGTCAGAGGGTTTAAGGTTTATGGAGAATGCAAGCTGCCTGGGGGCAAGAACTGTTGGCTGTCTTTAGTAGTGGGCATTCAGCACTGTTCCGGAGTCATGGAGATTCCTATGGGCCGGGCAAGGCTGGGGGGAGGGCAAGCAGGGAAGAAGGGTGGGCGGGCCTCCCCAAGCACTGCTGCAGCCGCTCTGCTCTGAGCCATCAGCTGCCCCAGGGCCTGCCCCAGGATGGGCTGCCCCAGGGCCTTGGCTGAGACGTCCTAGGTGCTGCTCTTGGGACCAGACAGTTCACCTGAGCGGGTGAGGGTGTGTCCTCGGCCCTGCACCGAGACCGCTGGCAGGCTGCTCCGTTGCTGTGGATTGCTCTACCAATTCCACTTTTAAAATAGTTCCTAGCCTCATGCTTTTAAAATATTTATTATTAGTGACCACTGTGTTCCAGAAACCATAATGGGAAACGGACTTGGGGAAAGTGTATTTCTGACCCTGTTTTGATATCAGTGACTTTTGATTGTGGAGCAACCATCTGAACAGAAGATGGCAACATTCACTCTGAGAACAGGGCAGGGAGCCTCACCTGACTGACGAGCCTCAGACCAGGGCTGGAGGAGACTGGGAAGGGGCACTTTCCCCCTAGGAGTCCCTAGGAGTCCTTGGCCCAGAGGGCGGGCGGGCGGGCTGCCTTCAGGGCAAAGGCCCATGGGAGTGCGGTTCCTCCGGCTCCACTCCCCTCCGCTCCCCTCCGCTCCCCTCCCCTCCGCTCCGACAACGATGAGCTGGGAGCCCAGGATGAGCCAGTGCAGGCTCCTGGCTTCCTCACGTGGAGGCCAGTCCTCGCGAGGCTGGGCGGCTGGCCTGCCTCAGCCAGGAAGTCAGAGCTGGTGGGCTCCAGGCCTCCGACTTAACCGTCCCTGCCACAGGGGACCCGTCCAGAGCACGCGGAGGCCCTGCTTCCTTCCTGCAGCCAATGGCCTCACCACCACGCAGTGCTGCAGCCATGGCCTCGCCACCACGCGGCGCTGCAGCCGATGGCCTCGCCACCACGCGGTGCTGCAGCCGATGGCCTCGCCACCACGCAGTGCCCGTCTGAGCTCGGCACCGCCGCCCCAGCGTTCTGGTCAGCAGGTGGTGTTCCGGTGGCAGCTCTGAACACAGGGACTTTTTTGACAAACTAATGTATAAAGTACAAGTGTGTCGCTGAGTCACTGTAGGACCCCTCAGAACCCCTGAGGACTTCTCAGCATGCGGGGAGGAAGAGGACATGGGCACTGGGCTTGGAATCAGAAGAGGCCAGTCATGGTCATAATTGAGACCAAATTGCTAGTCAAGAAGCTAAAGCTGGAAATCACGGAAAGTTGTGCACGCCGACCTTAAACGGCTCTGTGCCCCGTGTGCACGGCGTGGGTTCATTCATTCCGCCCACGGAGCCGAGGTGCCCGGCCGGACAGACGGGGTCTGCAGGCAGGTGGGCAGCCGTCCCTGCGGGCGCTCTCTGCCGCCCAGCTGCCAGGGTTCACGGCCCTGGCTTTTCTTCAGCGTGAGACTGAACAGCCACAGGCAGGTGTGCGCACCTGCAGGCCTGTTGTTAGCGTCGTCCGAGCAAGGTTCTAAAGCATTGTTTTTAATGCTTCAGCCTAATGTGTGGAGAAACAGTTTTAGCTCTGTGGTCAGTTCATTGGTTTTGTAACATTCCCGTAAGTCTCCGTCACTGTGGTCGTGAACAACTGCCGCAAGCAGACTGGACGGAAGCAGAATCAGCTCCTGTTCGGAAGGAAAGGCAGCGGCGGGAGAAGCAGCCCCCGGCTGATGGGGCGGCGCCTGGTCAGCCACCCGGCGCCCGGCCAGCTCCACAGATGACCAGGGGGCCACGTGTTCAGTAGCGTTCATGTTTTTATCACAATAAAATAAAATCTTATGTAACTGTTATTGTAACCACCCAACTATTGTTGGACAAAACATAATTCTTAATTTAGTGATTGATGACCGTGAAGCGGAACCCGATGGGAAGATCTCTGTGTGGGGCTCACGCTGTGTTAACGTGACGGCCGTGTCCTCGTGCCCGGCTCAGGCGGCAGAGCTGCGGTCCGGCCTTTCGGACGAGCCCCGCATAGGAGCTTGAACACAGCCGTTCTTTCAGCATCTCCCCCGGCCATGTAGACAGAAATGTGCGCTTTCAGGAAAGAAATGAAGTTGATGGACTGAGTCTGTCTTTGTCGTTAAATTAAACCCAGATATTTTCAGGCACATTTAGTTATTTTATTGTAATAACTAGAAGTATCAAAATTCACTCATAACTCCTTGTTGGCCAAGACAGTGGTTAATACGGAAGATCGCTCTAGAGCCCTAAGTATAATTAACGAAGCGCCTGTCAGCCTGACAGCTTGGTCCCAGCGTGAGCACACCGGTGCATCCGCGTGCCAGAGCGCGCCCAGGAACTCAGCTCCGAGCACAGCCTGCCCCTCGGCGTCCTCCCCGGAGAGAAGCTGGCAGGTGGCATTCTGGACATGACCACTTCACTATCATGAGAGTTGAAGTGACATTCACGTCAAACAAGATCATGTATATTTTGATTCTTTGCATTCAAGTTAAATGTTTGAGAATGAGAAAAATGCACACAGAAGTAAGGCTACCAGTAATTCTCTAGTCCTGTGTTAGCTCATTCACATTAAGGGGTTCTTGATTTTCTCTTTCTCTTCCTCCTCCTCAGGTTAGAGGAGCAGGAGGAAGTGGGGAGGTGGGACAGGTGGGGGTCTAAGAATTAATTTACGAGTATCAAGATCGTTGGCTGTTTATTTCACTTATAGACTGTCACTCCTGGGGTTATCTTTGTATGTGTTTAACTTTGGTATGTTATGGAAGACAGTATTTTTGAAACATTTTTGTATCTTAACATCAACATTTGATGAATATGTTTAAAGAAAACTTTGAAACTCTTCGTATTTAGAATTAGCCTCATGTTTAGAAACTTGCTAAGAGTGAGTTTATTTAAAAACGAACACGGAGCTTGGTTCTTGATTTCAGAATCCAGCAGGCGAAAGCGCAGATCCTTCCCGAGTGCGTGCTGCCGTCCACCATGTCCGCGGTGCAGCTGGAGTCGCTGAGCAGGTGCCAGGTGTTCCCCTCCAAGCCCGGCCCCGGGGACGACCGCTGCTCCCGTAAGTGGTGGCGGAAGTACCAGAAGGTGCGTAGCTAGTGCGCGTGTTTGCGGAGGGCGGGACAGGCTGCGGGGCTGCTCGTGTCTGCGGGGGGCGGGGACAGGCTGTGGGGTGTGTGTGTCTGCGGGGGGCGGGACAGGCTGCGGGGCTGCGCGTGTCTGCGGGGGGCAGGACAGGCTGCGGGCTGCGCGTGTCTGCGGGGGGCGGGACAGGCTGCAGGGTGTGTGTGTCTGCGGGGGGCGGGACAGGCTGCGGGGCTGCGCGTGTCTGCGGGGGGCAGGACAGGCTGCGGGCTGCGCGTGTCTGCGGGGGGCGGGACAGGCTGCAGGGTGTGTGTGTCTGCGGGGGGCGGGACAGGCTGCGGGGCTGCGCGTGTCTGCGGGGGGCGGGACAGGCTGCGGGCTGCGCGTGTCTGCGGGGGGCGGGACAGGCTGCAGGGTGTGTGTGTCTGCGGGGGGCGGGACAGGCTGCGGGGCTGCGCGTGTCTGCGGGGGGCGGGACAGGCTGCGGGGCTGCTGTCTGCGGGGGGCGGGACAGGCTGCGGGGCTGCGCGTGTCTGGGGGGGGCGGGACAGGCTGCGGGGCTGCGCGTGTCTGCGGGGGGCGGGACAGGCTGCGGGGCTGCGCGTGTCTGCGGGGGGCAGGACAGGCTGCGGGCTGCGCGTGTCTGCGGGGGGCGGGACAGGCTGCGGGGTGTGTGTGTCTGCGGGGGGCGGGACAGGCTGCAGGGCTGCGCGTGTCTGCGGGGGGCGGGACAGGCTGCGGGGCTGCACGAGTCTGCGGGGGGCGGGACAGGCTGCGGGGCTGCGCGTGTCTGCGGAGGGCGGGACAGGCTGCGGGGCTGCGCATGTCTGCGGGGGGCAGGACAGGCTGTGGGGTGTGTGTGTCTGCGGGGGGCAGGACAGGCTGCGGGCTGCGCGTGTCTGCGGGGGGCGGGACAGGCTGCGGGGCTGCTCATGTCTGCGGGGGGCGGGACAGGCTGTGGGGGTGTGTGTGTCTGCGGGGGGCGGGACAGGCTGCGGGGCTGCTCGTGTCTGCGGGGGGCAGGACAGGCTGCGGGGCTGCTCATGTCTGCGGGGGGCGGGACAGGCTGTGGGGGTGTGTGTGTCTGCGGGGGGCGGGACAGGCTGCGGGGCTGCTCGTGTCTGCGGGGGGCGGGACAGGCTGCGGGGGGCGGGACAGGCTGCGGGGCTGCGTGCCAGAGAAAGCAGCTCTCAGGCGGTGTCCCCGACCCGTGCAGCCCTGGACCGGCGGCGCCTGTGTTCACTCCCGGCGCAGTGCGGGGGCAGGAGCTGCGCTCGGTCCTGTGACTCAGCTCCCTGTCAGCAGCTGTGCGTCTAATTCTACGGACCCTCTCACTAAGCTCACAGGGCACACGTTTGGCTCGAGTCACACACACATGGGCTTTAAGAAAGGAGAGTTCAGGGTAGCACACAGAGTGACTGTGACCTCCTCTGTCTTGGCTGTTCCTAGGACACAGTTGACATCACAGAGCTGGGCTTAAGACAGGAGCACTGTACAAGCGAGGCCTGTGCGCCCCCGCCCTCCCGCACGCCCCTGTGGCCCCCGCCCTCCTGAGTGTCCTGCTGTCACTGAGTGTTGCTGAGTGTCCTGCTGTCGCTGAGTGTTGCTGAGTGTCCTAGTGTTGCTGAGTGTCCCGCTGTCGCTGAGTGTTGCTGAGTGTCCTGCTGTTTCTGAGTGTTGCTGAGTGTCCTGCTCTTGCTGAGTGTTGCTGAGTGTCCTGGTGTCGCTGAGTTACCTGGTGGGCTGCTGGTACATTTTTAATTCTGTAACTGGACTGTGACAGAAACCCTCCGTGTCTCGGGTCTCGGAATAAAGAGCTGACCGAGAACACCTTCAGGGTCTTGTGGTCCGACCCCTCAGGCTTAGATCAGCCCTGAGCGCGCTCTGCTGCCATCAGACCACCCCGGGCGCTTCAAACATAAGGGTCATACCGAGCCCACTTCTCTTTAAAGAGCCCATCGCTGTGAGCTTTGGCCCAGGGACCCTCTGGGACAAGTCCGTCCTTACTCAGGTAGCAGTTCTTACACACTGTAAAGAAGCGACACGTCCTCTGGGGCGGCAGCTCCACACTGCACGTGCCTGACCTCAGCCCGAGCCGGTCTGGGAATCCGACCCGACAGCCAGAGCTCTCGCCTGTGCCCGTCAGGGGCCACATTCTCGTGTCACCTGTGTGCCGATGGACTGGACTCCGCACACTGGTCAGCTCACCAGCCAGCCAAGTCCCCGTGTCCTCTACAAACTGCCACGCTCCCTGGTCACACCGCTCCAGCCCTAAGGGCCGGCAGGTCTCCTGCTCGTGAGGTCTTCTTGCGTTTCTGGTTCCACTCTGGTCAAGTCCTTTGTGACCAACCCGCTCCGTTCCCACCCAGGGGCCGGGCCTGTCCCTGCGGAGGTGGCTGAGTATTGGGGTGCCTGTTCTTTGGTGGCAGGGTGCTCCCTGGGTGAGCGTACGCGAGCATGTCCTGTGGGTGGATGTTGCGGTGGCTTCTAGTTCCTGTGTCAGATTCCTCATCTCCTGGAGAACTCTCCTTGCTCCCAGTTTTCTTGGTGGTTTCACACTTGATTCTTCCAGGTGAACTTTTAAATTATGCTTCTGAACTCCAGCCTCACTGGTGTTGCACTGAACGTATACTTTGAGGACTGACGTCTTTACTGAGTCTTCCCATCAGACATTGAAATTCTGCAGGAGTTTACGTATAACTCCCACTTCCTCTGAAATTTGTGACACGGGGACTGATCCGGGCGTCCGAGCGCGTGACCGAGTCCTCTTTACAGCTGCCTCACGCAGGCTGCCAGCCCGGAAGTTCTCACCCCAGCTTGGACCGCGTTCCGGTTTCCGTGCAGATGTATCCAAGCGAATGTCGTGGTCGGAAGGGGTGGCCTAGAGCGACTCTGCATTTTGTTTTCACTAGGTTGTCCTCAGTATTGAAGTTTTCATATTAGACCTTTCTCAAAAGAATCAGGATTCTAGTTGTAACATATATATATATATATATATATATATATATGAAGGCTATAAAAACTGATTGTCAGACTTAATAATCATCTACTGTGGGATCATCTACAACATTCTTCTTTTCTGAAAGTAGGAAGTCTTTTCCCGGGACATCGTTTTTCCAGTGTCGCTCTTTCCACCATGAGAGTCTTTACCGAGCGGGTTGCTTCACTAATTGTTTTTTCTGTTTTCAGAGAAAGTTTCACTGTGCGAATCTGACCTCGTGGCCCCGCTGGCTGTACTCCCTGTATGATGCTGTAAGTCAGTCGCCTTGACGTCCCTTTTCCGGGTGAGGCGGGTCGTTGGAACGGAGCCCGGCGGCCATGTCGCCTTGCGGTCACGGGCGCACGCGCCAGCCTGAGCGCAGGGCCCGCACTCCCGGGCCCCTCTCCCTCTGGGTGGGGAAGTTTCGGTTTCCCAGCTTCTGTGCCTCATGACTTCAGCACCAGACGTGGGGGTGTCTGAGGGTTTATCAAGCATGCGAATTCCGCGGGGTCCCGTGGCAGCTCCACTCAGGAAACCAGAGCCCCGTTCTGGGCTCTCTGAGCAAAGGCACACCTGTCTCCCGGGCCCTCGGCGTGCGGGGCACAGCCCGTGCTCCTGGGGGCGTCTGGGTGCGGGCAGCCCGCCGCGTGACCCGGCTCCAACGGGCTGTGGGGCGGCTGGGGGGTCTGGTCTCTAGACACAGGCTGTCCAAAGCCTGACTTCCGCCCTCTTCTCTGTGGCCCGGGGCAAGTCCCTGGAGCAGCTGGGGAAGGGGTAGTGGTGGCTGCTGCAGGGACGAGGACACATTCAGCTCCTGGCACTTCTCCCCGCGGGAGCCCCGCCCCAGCCCCGTCCCAGCCCTGCCCCAGCCCCTCTGCAGCCCCGGGAACTGCGCAGCTGTGCTCAAAGGGCACTGCGGCCCGACGGGCGCCGGGGGGTGTGGGCACCCCACTGAAGGGCACTGCGGTCCGAGGGCGCCGGGGGGGGGGTGTGGGCACCCCGGTGAAAGAATGAAGTTCTCTGTGGTGAAGTGCCTGCTGCTCATGGGGCCCCGCCCCACACGGAGGCAGGAAAGGCTTCCCGGAAGGAGAGGCGCCCAGGGCCCAGCGCTGAGAGCAGGACACCTGCCGGCCCAGCTGGGGCCTTGGTCGTGTCCGCAGAGCAGACGTTCACACTGGAGCTGGGTCCCAGGGACGACGTGACTGCCGCTGTGCGTGTGCCGCGAGCCGAGGCGGCAGCCTGGTGAAGGCCTGACCTGTCGTGCTCTTGTGTTTGACCAGGAGACGCTGATGGACAGAATCAAGAAGCAGCTGCGCGAGTGGGACGGGAACCTGCGGGACGACTCCCTCCCTGCGAACCCGATAGGTGCGCCCGCGGCCGCCTCCGAGGGCGCTGCTTTCGGACAGCCGAGCCGGCGCGCCAGGGTTTCCCACTGGGCTTCGTATTAGTCGTGAGAAGTAGACACGTTCTCGGCTTTGAGCGGTTCAAAAGGGAGGCCGTGTGCCAAGTGGAGTCAGCTCTTCAGTGCTGTGACCTCCAGGCAGCCCGTTCCCGCCCTTCACGGCTGCCGTCGGCTCAGCGCAGAGGCGCCGGGAGGTGGCTGTCAAGGCGACCCGTCCAGGACGCCTTACACAGCCGGCGTCTCCGTGAGGAGCCGGCGCCTCGCTGCCCTCTGGTCTCCTAGCGGACCGCTCAGCGAGCTCAGTTTCGCTTCATTCAGAAGAGGGCACGTAGGAACCGGGTGGGGAGCTGTCTCAGCCTCCCGAGCACGCGCTCCAGCGCCGCCGCGTCGGGGGGACGGCCCGTGCTGTCGGGCCTGCGGGGAGGGCTGAGCACAGCCCTGCGTCAATCCCTGACCCCACATGTCTCTCAGACTTCTCCTACAGAGTGGCTGCCTGTCTTCCCATTGACGACGTGCTGAGGATTCAGCTCCTGAAAATCGGCAGTGCTGTCCAGCGACTGCGGTGCGAACTGGACATCATGAATAAAGTGAGTGCCGTGAGCCTGTGACCCGCCTCAGCCAGCCGGAGCGCGGGCTGCTGGGGCCCCGGCCACCTGCAGGCCTGTCCTTCGTCCTGCGCTAGGAAGCTGTGGAGGGAGGCCCGTCTGAGGGTTCAGCAAGGGTCGGTAGTTATCCGTGAACGTGGGCGCCTTGCATCCTGGACGGGTTCTGGTGGCCTGTGTGATCACGTCATTACACAGAGTGACCTTCCCACTCATCTGCTCTTACATTTTCAGTGTACGTCTCTTTGCTGTAAACAATGTCAAGAAACGGAAATAACAACCAAAAATGAAATATTCAGGTGAGATATTTATTACCTTTTGTTGTTAATCCTCACCCGAGGATATTTTTCCATGGACTTTCTTAGAGAGTCAAGGGCGGGACGGGGGAAGAGAGACATCGGCGTGAGACACACAAATCCACTGGCTGGGGAGCCAGCCTGCAACCCAGATACGTGCTCTCGACTGGAATCGAACCTGGGACCCTCGGGTCCAAAGGCCGATGCTCTAACGTCAGAGCCACACCGGCCAGGGCTGTGTCACATTTATAGTGAACCCGTGAGTGCCCTCCCCGGCCGCCGCGGCCTCGGGTAAGCTGAGCCAGCTCTGACGCCGCGGCAGGGTCTGAACGGCCCCGCGACAGGTTCCTGAGCGGAAGGCAGCGAGGCGGCCTCTGCTCATGGGCACTGGGGGCGGGGCGGGGCGGGCAGCTGCCAGGAGACCGGGCTGTCACACGGGCCTCTGCAGGGGGTTGGGGAAGCGGGTGCCCCCTTCCCTCCGTCATCGGACACCACTGACCACAGGGCTCACCGCCAGCCTCCCTGCCAGTACGTAGAGCTAACTGAAAGGGTAGAGGCCGTAGCTCTGGCAGCCTCACTGCTGGGTCAGCTGGTCAAAGATCTGCTAGATGGGGCCTCCCCGTGCTGACTGAGCCTCTGCTGGTCCCGCTGCAGCTTGTCCTTGTGCGGGCCCATGGCAGCCTACGTGAACCCCCATGGGCACGTGCACGAGACGCTCACCGTGTACAAGGCCTCCAACCTGAACCTGGCGGGCCGGCCGTCCACACAGCACAGCTGGTTTCCCGGGTAATGTCACCTGACTTGTTTTCGGTTTCGCCTTCGATGGGAGGCAGGTTCAGAAGAGTGTTGCTAGGGCTAGAGCCCCGAGGGGTCGGTGGGAGGCGCGGCTCGGTCTCCGTGCCAGGAGGGGCTGGCGGGCTGGCGGGCGGGCGGGCAGGGGCGGGCTGGCATCGCCTCACCGGGTGGGGGGCTGGGGAGAGGTCCGCACCGCAGGTAGCCCCGCTCCCCGTCCCTGCCCGTCACCCCGTGGCCTTGCCCGGAGCCCGAGTGAGTCCCTCAGCTCCGTCCTCTTCAGGGTCCCTGTTGTTTGTGTTTTCTACCAACTTCTGGGCCAGCCTCTTGTTCCCAAGACAGTGAGCTGAGCGGGAACTAGTGCTTTTACCGCCACTCTGGACCTAGAGCCTTGTCACTTGGCTTGTCCCACCTTGGTTCGCACCCTCCTCGTCCCGGGACTAAAACTGGAACTAACTCGTCAATAAGTGCTGCACGTGGGACCACCCAGGACGGCTGAGGAAACGGCTGCAGCCCCCTGGCTGGGTCACTGCCCTTCAGCACGGAAACGCCACGGCTTGTACTTCCCACAGGTGTTCCTGTCGGAGTTCTTCCACAGGCGCAGCCTCACGGGAGACGGGCGCCCCCCAGGCTCTCCCGGGGGCTCTGCTCGGCCGTCTCGCCCAGCACGGCGGCGCCCCCAGCCCCTGCCGTCCACGACCCCCGTCAGGCACCGCGAGGGCCCCCTTCCCCACTGCCCTCCACGGCCCGTTCTCACCCGCACGCACAGAATTTCCTGTGGGGGTGGCTCGGGGAACTGCGCAGACTCTCAGAACGTGTCTCCACGACGGGGGCACAGCGTCAGTGGGAGGCACCGAGCGTCCTCCGCCGACACGTCCTTCCTCTCGTAGGTTTGCCTGGACCGTGGCCCAGTGCAAGATCTGCGCCAGCCACATCGGGTGGAAGTTCACAGCCACCCAGAGAGACCTGTCCCCTCAGAAGTTCTGGGGCTTGACGCGCTCCGCTCTGCTGCCCACCATCCCAGACACGGAGGACGAAGTCAGCCCCGACAAAGTGGTGCTTTGCTTGTGAACAACGGGAGCCGGCATCCAGCAAGCTGCTGCGGGGTCCTGCTGGCGGCCAGCCGAGTGCCGAGCAGCAGGAGGACGGCCGCAGCTCCCGCAGGCGGCTGAGGGCCCCCGGGACCGCCCGCTTCCCTAGTGTGGTGCCAGGACCCCGTGGAGCCTGGTGCTAGGTGGCATGTCATTGGTAGGAAATCCTGGGACGCGAGGGGAGCCGCTGGAGGCCGCAGGTGCGAGGGCGAGTCCGGGCGCTGTGCCACCAGCCAGGTGCCGGGCTCGCGCTGCTGCTGTCTGCAGGGGGCGGGCGAGGGACCGTCCTCCGAAGCCCTTACCCGGGCTCTTCCCTTCCACCTTCCATTCTCTGAGACACTGATTTGTACATTTTGAAAATGTTAGTTAAAATATGCAGTTTGAGCCCCCAGATGCAGTTTCACTTCCTTAGGTTGGTCAGAAAGCAGCCAGGATTTGAGTGCCCAGTGTGAGAGGTGACGCCGGCCCCCTGCCCCGCGTGTCGGACCTGCCCGCTGAGCAGAGGCGCTCAGGGCCGGCCCCGGGGGCTCCAAGCAAGACACTGTGTTCCTAGGTGGTTTTGTTCAGTGTAAATTGAAAAAAATCTGTAAACTTGAAGAGCAAAACTGAATTAAAAATGTTCTGTTTAGGTCATGTAAACTACTGCTCAAGCAGACAATGTAGGGGAGAGAACCCTGAGACCAAGCTCTCCATAGGCTGCTGTGCCACCTACCTCTGCGTCTACATCTGAGGCTCTCGGCGTCTCCCCTCTTGCGTAACCGGTTTGCTGTGTCTTCGCTGCTTTAGGAAACTTGCTGGGAAATGTTGGTCTAACAGGGGACGTGAGGCCGAAGCAGGCTTGGTCTGGTCCTGTCCAGACCTGCACTGTGCCGACTGCCTAGGCAGACGCCACCCGACCGCCCAGCGCAGAGAGGGCCCTGCGCAGCCTGCAGGGGGCTGGCGCTCAGCACGCGCCGCCCGCCCCAGCCCCTCAGCTGCCGTTTCCCGAAGTCTTGCTGCTACACTGGTAGCCTGGGTCTCTGCAGCCTGGTGGTTCACCCGCTCACACTGGACTGAGCGTGCTCACGGTGCCAGCTCTGCTGGGGCCCAGGGCACCGCCACCTGAGCCGACCAGGGAGGGCAATGCAGCATCACACTCGCCCCCAAAGGGTGTCCCGAATGTTCCGTGTTGCTCACTGACACCTGCAAATAAAATGCTCTAATAAGAAGGAACTTGCATGTGCTACTACTGTCCAGTGTTGTGTCGAGCGACGTCTGGAGCAGGCAGCCGGCTCCCTTCACCTGAGCAGGGCTCCTGTGGCGTCGGCTCCGGGTGCATCTCGGTGGGACTTCGGTCCTTCGGGTGCCCGTCTCCACCACCTGGGACTGCTGGGGGGTCTGGGCCCCCTTCTTGCAGGAGCTATGGCTAGAGTGTGCACTTTCCTCCTAGCGGGGCGTGCAGAGATGCTGCCCGGCCCGCACGGAGCAGCGACCAGGACCGAGGAGACGCTGCCCGGCCCGCACGGAGCAGCGACCAGGCCCGAGGAGACGCTGCCCGGCCACCCGCACGGAGCAGCGACCAGGCCCGAGGAGACGCTGCCCGGCCACCCGCACGGAGCAGCGACCAGGCCCGAGGAGACGCTGCCCGGCCCGCACGGAGCAGCGACCAGGCCCGAGGAGACGCTGCCCGGCCACCCGCACGGAGCAGCGACCAGGCCCGAGGAGACGCTGCCCGGCCACCCGCACGGAGCAGCGACCAGGCCCGAGGAGACGCTGCCCGGCCACCCGCACGGAGCAGCGACCAGGCCCGGAGGAGACGCTGCCCGGCCACCCGCACGGAAGCAGCGACCAGGCCGAGGAGACGCTGCCCGGCCCGCACGGAGCAGCGACCAGGCCCGAGGAGACGCTGCCCGGCCCGCACGGAGCAGCGACCAGGACCGAGGAGACGCTGCCCGGCCCGCACGGAGCAGCGACCAGGCCCGAGGAGACGCTGCCCGGCCCGCACGGAGCAGTGACCAGGCCGGAGGAGACGCTGCCCGACCACCCGCACGGAGCAGCGACCAGGCCCGAGGAGACGCTGCCCGGCCCGCACGGAGCAGCGACCAGGCCGGAGGAGACGCTGCCCGGCCCGCACGGAGCAGCGACCAGGCCGGAGGAGACGCTGCCCGACCACCCGCACGGAGCAGCGACCAGGCCCGAGGAGATGCTGCCCGACCACCCGCACGGAGCAGCGACCGGCCCAGAGGAGACGCTGCCCGACCACCCGCACGGAGCAGCAACCAGGCCCGAGGAGACGCTGCCCGGCCCGCACGGAGCAGTGACCAGGCCCGAGGAGATGCTGCCCGACCGGCCCAGAGGAGACGCTGCCCGACCACCCGCACGGAGCAGCGACCAGGCCCGAGGAGATGCTGCCCGGCCCGCACGGAGCAGCGGCTGGCAGCGCAGCAGGGAAGGCGCACAGCGGGCACAGCCACCTGCAGACGCGGGAGCGCTGGGGCCCGGGCTCAGGCAGACGCGCAGGCCTGTCCGCGGACTGACAGGGCCGACCCTGCCGGCATCGCCACACTGAAGCAGCAGCTCGTGTCCTGGTGAGCGGGCACCAGCCACCTGGGCACAGCTGCCTCATGCTTTATAAAATATTTTATGCAAACTGGTCAACTACTTTCAAATACAAGTTTATTCTGGAATTCAGGTAAGAAATGATGCTTATCTTGGACAGTCGTGCCTTATGACCGGCTATTTCCGCTGCGGTGACCCAGAGTCCTTCAGGACAGACCTGCCTTTCTAAGGCCAACCTCAGCCCCGCCTGTGCGAAGACGGCGGCCACTCGGGACAGGCCAGGCAGCTGCGCTCCCAGGAGCCGCTCCGAGCGCAGGGCTCGGCCGCACCTCCGCGCACAGGCAGCCCGCAGTGCGGTGCCCGGTCCAGTCACACCAGGAGTGGGACGTGCTCTCTTCTCCCCCGAGGCCCTTGCCCCAGACACGCGAGTCCGAGTCCCCGCAGGGGGGAGGGGCCGGCGGCCTCACTCGTTCCGGCTGCGGGCAGCGGCCCTCGCGCTCAGGTCTTCTTCACGTAGCTCAGCAGCTCGTCCTTCTCCATCTGGTAGCCGCTCTTCTTCCACTGGTCCCGCAGCTGCTGCAGCAGCGCCCCGATCTCCTTTCCGGAGGAGATGCCCACCTTCCTGATGTCGTGGCCACTCACAGGGAACGTGGGCACGGACCACTGCTGCAGGTCCCCCAGGAGGCCGTGCTGGCCCTGATACTTCAGCAGCTCCCAGACTCGCGCCGTGGCGTCGGGCTCCCTGCACTGAGACCGACATCACAGTTCACCGCGTTAGAGAGCATGCGCACAGCTGACCCGACGCTAAACGAACGCTCCGCGAGAAACCCTCAGCTACGATAAAGGAAGCCCCAGACTACACTGCGGCCCAGGGTGGTTAGTGAGGGGCCGTGCCCAGCACAGACTACACTGGCCCAGGGTGGTAAGTTAGTGAGGGGCCGTGCCCTGGCCATGCCCAGCACAGACTGCACTGGCCCAGGGTGGTAAGTTAGTGAGGGGCCGTGCCCGGCACAGACTACACTGGCCCAGGGTGGTAAGTTAGTGAGGGGCCGTGCCGGGGGCGGGCGGGGTGGGACAGGGTGGTAAGTTAGTGAGGGGCCGTGCCCGGCACAGACTACACTGGCCCAGGGTGGTAAGTTAGTGAGGGGCCGTGCCCGGCACAGACTACACTGGCCCAGGGTGGTAAGTTAGTGAGGGGCCGTGCCCTGGCCATGCCCAGCACAGACTGCACTGGCCCAGGGTGGTAAGTTAGTGAGGGGCCGTGCCCGGCACAGACTGCACTGGCCCAGGGTGGTAAGTTCGTGAGGGGCCGTGCCCGGCACAGACTGCACTGGCCCAGGGTGGTAAGTTCGTGAGGGGCCGTGCCCGGCACAGACTGCACTGGCCCAGGGTGGTAAGTTCGTGAGGGGCCGTGCCCGGCACAGACTGCACTGGCCCAGGGTGGTAAGTTCGTGAGGGGCCGTGCCCGGCACAGACTACACTGGCCCAGGGTGGTAAGTTAGTGAGGGGCCGTGCCCGGCACAGACTGCACTGGCCCAGGGTGGTAAGTTAGTGAGGGGCCGTGCCCGGCACAGACTGCACTGACCCAGGGTGGTAAGTTAGTGAGGGGCCGTGCCCGGCACAGACTGCACTGGCCCAGGGTGGTAAGTTACTGAGGGGCCGTGCCCGGCACAGACTGCACTGGCCCAGGGTGGTAAGTTCGTGAGGGGCCGTGCCCGGCACATACTCACATCGATGATGAAGTCTTGATAGGGTTTCAGAGGTTCCGCACTGTCTGCTGCTTTCGTTAAGTCTTTCCTGTATTTAACTAAAAACAAACCAAGGTTCTTCTCTTCCTTTGAAATCTTCAACCTCAAATCCAATTTTGTGACATCATCCTGTACTTTGAATAGTGAGGCCAAGAGAGTCATTGGCTTTGGCGAAAAACCTTCAACATTTTGACTGACTTTGTCAAATTCTTCTAAACTTGCATTAATAGGTAAACCTGTAGGGACAAAAGTGTTTTTCACTCATTGTGACAGTGGTCAATTCCGTTAACAGGCAGATGCTAAGCCAACCAGCTCTGCTTCGCGGAAGCACCTGTCCCTGGGCTGTCGGTCCATCTAGCACTCCTCCAGCCCACAGGGACCTGTGACACATCTGCCGTCCTGACCCCTCACCCTGCAAACTGAGGGGAGCAGAAGCATGTGTGCCACTAACCAGCTGCAGCGGGGGAGGCGGCGGTGTCGGCTCACGGACACGACCAGTCGCAGACTCCTGTGAGCACAGAGCACCCACCCGGTCCTGGCGAGGCACCCCAGGGCGGTGTGCCGTACACCAGAGGGTCTGGTGTCCGATCCCCAGGCAGGGCACACCCAGGTGGCTCAGGCATCAGGGTGATCTGGGAGGCAGTCGACACGTCTCTCTCTCAGGATCATGGGAAATATAGCCTCTGGTGAGGATTAAAAAAACCCACCTCCCCACATGATTCTGTATTTGAAATGTACCCGTTTCCAACACGACACACAAGGTGATCCCAGGCCTGAACGTTGGTCACACCTCCTGAGCGCTTTACCTATGTCGACTGCCCAGTCAGCCTCCAGTAGGAAGATGCCGTTTTAAGGTTTTTGTTTGTTTTTATCCTCACCCGAGGCCATTTTTCAACTTTTGGTTCAGATAGAGTGGGAGGGAGAGAGAGAAACATCGATGTGAAAGGGACACATCAAGTGGCTGCCACCCGCACGACCCAACCAGGGCCGGGGACAAACTGCAACCAAGGTACGTGCCCTTAGCAGGAACTGATTCCGGGTCTCTCCGGACCGCAGGCCAGGGCTCATCCCCGTGTTTAGACTCAGGACTAGCAGTCCAAGAACTAAGCCACGTCAGGGCCGGTAAGTGGCAAAGCCTCCTTCAAACCCACACCTGGCCACACAGGCCCCTCTGTGCCCCTGGCCCACGCTGTCTCCAAGCTGCCCCCGCCCGTGGCAGAACTGTCCCACCCCCGGAGCGTGTTTAAAACATTCCATTTCTCCCGCGAATTCAGCTGACTCCCACGTCCCTCGCGAAGCATTAGAGCAGGCGCACTTCCTTCCCAGACGCGGACGCCCCACACCCCGGCCTCACCTATGTAAGGAGCCACGTCGAGGTCGTAGATGAGGTGAACCAAATGATTGACATGACTTCCAAGGAGAATCTTTTTCAGTTCTACCCAAATCCTCTCCCCTGACACCCCGGCCAGGCCTCTGGCGTTCGCTGCAATTGCCTCCAAAGTCTCCGGGTCGTGGTCCCCTGGTTTGTCTACGATCTTCCCGTAAAACCTGCAAACAGAGGTGAGTGTCACCTGCGCGGTGCAGCAGCCAGAGCAATCCGGGGCCAGTCTCCGGCGCCCGCCCCACACCGACTGACGCACAGAATTAGGGCTCGCGCAGACCTTGGGGATCCTATGGGGAGTCCACCTTCTCTTTTTTCCTAGATGAAAAAACCCAAAAGCCAGTACAATTTAAGTACCCTCCTAAAGTCGGCAGGAGCTAGGCTGCCCACCTCTTTCACTCCTGAGTCAGACAGATGCCAAGAGTGGTTGGCAAATGCAGCTCCCGAGTTGGCACTTGTAGTGATGGGTAGAAAGAGCATCCTTATAAAGGTGCCCAGACAAGACTGCCTGCCGACCGGACGGTCCCCGTCCCTGGAGGCTGCCGGTACACCAGGGCTCTGACGAGCTTCAGCTACGACCAGCCTCACGGCTGCCGCCGGCGTGCGACCTGGACTCTCCGAGGTGAAGCCATTAAGCACGCCTGCTCGGTGTCAGTGTCTCACTAAACGACTGGTTAAACCTCAGTCCAGGCCCTTTTCTTTGTAAAAAGAGACTGTGTGCAGATACTCAAGGTTAAAGGAATAGCATTTATTAACAAAACAAAGAATGTTACAGAACATTCTGAGTCATCCCAACCAGTGGAAGATTATATTACTCAACATAAACTAGCCAGTTAGGATAGTCTGAGTTCCGAGTTTAAGTCACTGCTACCCACAAAGCCATCCCAGGACATTCATGCTACCAAGTTCACCTGGGAGGTCCCCCGGGCCCAGACAGAGCCACGTGGAGGAAGGGCCTTCATTCATCCAGTACTGTGTTCAGAGCATCTTACTAAGTTCACCTGGGAGGTCCCCTGGGCCCAGACGGAGCCACGTGGAGGAAGGGCTTTCATGCATGCAGTACTGTGTTCAGAGCATCTTACTAAGTTCACCTGGGAGGGCCCCACGGCCCAGACGGAGCCACGTGGAGGAAGGGCTTTCATTCGTCCAGTACTGTGTTCAGAGCATGTGCCAGTGGGGCCTATAGGAGGCACTGAGACATCTGTGTAAAGAACTATCAGTGTAGGACAAAAAATGGACATTTAACATAGCAATTTAAAGCTGAATTCTATAAAAGATAATCACAGAATAAATATGTTTTGGGAATGAAAGTATAAAATTTCTCAGTAACGTGTCACATGGCAGTCGCCTTGTCTTTGGAACACAACCCAAGACCAGCCGACACCTCAAAGTGCAGACAGCACTGGACCGTGTGCACCGTGCTCCCTCCGCGCACATGCGACACAGCTTCAGTACAAACAAGGCACAGTGAGGGGAGCGATAATGACAATAACAGAGCAGAGCAGTGAATGTGCTGTGACAGAAGTTACGAGTGGGCTGACCACTGATCTGATGAGCGACGGCTCTCGAGTGACCGAGGGCGGGGAGCACATTCCGCACACAGAGGCCAGACACAGGGATGACTCCTGCCCCGGGCAGGACAGGTCGGGCTCAAGGTTTCACCGCACTGCACAGAAAGGCATGCAATTCACTTTTTATTCCTAATCCTCACCCGAGGACATTTTTGTATTTATCTTCACATAGAGGAGGGAAAGGGGGAGGAAGAGAGAAACATCGATATGAGACACATCGAGTGGCTGCCACCCACACGACCACAACTGGGGCCGGGGACACACTGCAACCGAGGTACGTGCCCTTAGCGGGAACCGAACCCGGGCCTCTCCGGACCGCAGGCCGACGCTCTAACCGCTGAGCCAAAGTAGCCAGGGCCAGGCAAACAATGTAAAACCACGGGATTGTTTCTTTCTCACATTTTCCATTGAATGTTTTCAAGTGTGGCTGACCGTGGGGACTGACCCCACGTGTTGGGGAGCCATCGTTTGATGAATCTCCATGGAGACAGATACTTGGGATGTCACCATTTCGTGCACTAACCTGCTGTGCATTTCACATGATCAGAACTATACTCTGGTAAGACTATATCATTAATTTTTTCCCTTTAAATATGTTTTAATATTTTAGAAGAGAGAGAGGAAACATGGATCTGCTGCCTCCTGCACACCCCCAGTGGAAATCGAGCCCACAGCCCAGGCATGTGCCCTGGTGGGGGAATTGAACCTGGGCCTCTCAGTCCATGGGATGACGCTCAATCCACCAAGCCACATTAATTGGGCAATTTTTTAAAATTCTTACCTGAAATACCTTAAAATTCTAAGATAATCTTCTTGTATCCTCTTTTTAGCATGTCCAACAAATCTCACTTTCTTGTTTTTTAAGTCTTCATAACCATTGAAGTAGTCATATAAAGTACCATCAAAGCCTAGTCATTGGAAAAGAGGGGATAAAAATGACTCAGCAATTAAGCATTGAAAAACAATGTGGTACATTTCTACAATGGAACATTACTCAGCAGAAAAAAGAATGCAGTCTTGCCATTTGTGAGGGGGGTGGACCCCGAGGGCATAAGGCTAAGCGAAGTAAGTCAGAGAGACATACCACATGGTCTCACTTGTATGTGGAATCTAAGAAAAACACAAAACTAAGCTCTCAGACACATACAACAGAGTGGTGGCCACCAGAGACGGGGTGGGGTTGGATGAAATGGGTGGGTGGGGGGGTCAAAGTTACACTCCCTGTTTTGGTTTATATGGCATTTTGATGTGTATAGCAAATAGATTTTAAAAGAAATAAAAAAGAAAAAGAAAAAATGTAGGTCAATAAAAACAAAACCCCGATTACAAAGTAACAAACGTGGCCCATTTGTCTGATGTGTGTTCTCTTCATGGAGACTCCTAACTCCCTGGTGAGTGTGGAGGTACTAAGGCCTTTTTCAGGGAAGATCAAAATCTGGAAAAAAAATAAGGGTCTGATAAAAGCAAAATAAGAGTAACCAGGAATGCCTATCTAGGAATGTTTTGCCCAATAAATCTTGAAAACAGTCTGGACAAAAGGATGAGTAAAAGACTAGTGAGTATCGTACTGGTGTATGCTTTGTTTTGCTTTGAATGTCATCCTTTTAAAATACAACAAATAAACCAGAGAGCGGAGGTGCTGAGAACGAGGTCGCGGACCCGAGCGGGGCCTCCAGCCGGCTGCCGAGGCCGGGACCCTAGCGGGCCACTGATGGGCCGCAGGACGTGGGGCAGATTATCGTGGGTGAAAGTGCTCTGCCGGGCCGCTGGGAAGAGTCGATGTGTGCTGTGCTTCGGACAGCGCTGGGCACACTGCAGGGCCAGCCAGTGTCAGACCACAGCAGCACCAGCCAGGCTGTGATTCTGATCCAGTGTCTGGACAGAGCACACTAGTGTCTGTCTGGGCTCATCTGCTCGTGGGAAGGGGGCTGGGAGGCTGTCCACACTGCCAGCCGGAACAGCAGGTCTGGTGAGGAGGACGAAGGCCACTCCGGCGCCTGGAGAGAAAATGTGCCACCAACCGGCCACATTCTGCTCACAGTTCCCAGGGATCTGGAACCCGGGCTCAGGCCCTGACTTTCTGTGACCTGGGGTAAATTACCTAATGCCTGGGAGTCAGTTTCCTCATCTGTCAAAGGGGTTCCACCCACATCACGAAGCTTTTCTGAGGTGACAACACACAGCAGTGACCACATGTGTCCCCATCACAGGAGGGGACACTATCGCTTCACCCTTTCACTGTGCCACCATCGTCACAATGCAGGTTACAATCCGGGATATTTGTCTCTCTTGCCTACTCGAGTCTTAGATGTAAGGGCGTTTCTGAAGAGTCAAGCACAACACGGCACGGTGGCACGCACGGCCTAACGCACACGCGCTGCCACGAGGGCGGCCTTTCGGGAGCAGGGGTGACGCAGACGACCAGGGTCCCTGCGCCGCCAGCCTGGCTGACGACAGGTGACTCCTCCAGAACTCACGCCCTGGGGAGGGAGACTGGCCGGGCCCAGCAAGAGGACAGACGTGCGGGGCTGTGCCCAGCGTGCTGGGCATGGGAGGGAGCAGACAGGGCGCACCGTGCGGGTGAGCCACATGTGCACACACACCTGTTCTCACCTGAAACGCCAACATTTCCGGGTGCAACTAAGCTAACTACGTACAAGGCCCTAAACCATGAACTCCTGTCACCTGCACATCGACCCTAAAGGAAGCCAGTGAGTGATGGGGTCAGAATTTTTTTTTTTTTTTATCCTCATCCAAGGATATTTTTCCATTTTTTGCACAGATAGAGTGGGAGGGAGAGAGAGAAAGTGAGTGAGAGAGCGAAACATCGATGTGAAGGGACACATCGAGTGGCTGCCACCCGCACGACCAACCAGGGCCGGGGACAAACTGCAACCGAAGTACGTGCCCTTAGCGGGAACCGAACCCGGGTCTCTCCGGACCGCAGGCCGACGCTCTAACCACTGAGCCAAACTGGCCAGGGCTGGGGGCAGAATTTGAACCCAGGGATTTGGGGGTCCAGTCATCTTGTAACCACTATACACACTGTCTCCAAGACAGCCTCGCGAGCTGCAGTGCAGGGAAGCGGGGTCCCCCTGAAAAGAAGGCATTCAGACGGCCGGAGTGAGCACACTGGCTCGCCACGTTACCTAAGAACATAGAATTTATGGTGAGGTCTCTGCGCTCCGCGTCTCTCTGCCAGTCAGTTGTGAATTCCACCTCTGCGTGTCTCCCATCGGTGACGACATCAATTCGTAGTGTGGTAATCTCAAAATTTTCTTTATCAAGCTGTAATTAAATATATATTTTTAAAAATTAGTTTTTAGTATCCCTGGATAGATGGAAAAAATGTGAAGTCCCGACAGCCGGGTCGACCTCTCTCTTTACTGTCGGCCAGCGCACGTGTACCTTCGGAGAAAGACACCCGCGATATTCAAAGATGGATCCAAAGACCATGTTTTAAAAAGATGAGTCTGAGTACAACACTGGCCACGCACACAAGTGCTGCGGCAGAAAGGAGAAGCCCGCAGAGTGTACTCTGACTCTTCTGTTTCAGGCTCTTCTCTGAAACGCTCACGGATCCAGCTAAGATCCATGCACAGATGCACACCCCGAGCGAAGGGCTGCCAGGGAGCCAGGCCACACCGGGCGCCGCCCTCGCCTTCCCCGCCAACCATCGAGGGGAACGAGAAGGCAGTCCGTCCAGCGTGGCTGCGGGACTGTCTGCAGCTGTGAAATCTGCACAGACGTGCGCGGGAGGAGGCGACCAGAGCAGAGGCGGGCTGCACGCTGCAGACAGCAGGCGGAGGCCTCGCGTGCACACGGCGTCTGGGGTCTTCCCAGAGCTGAAGCCGCTGAGGGTCGCTAGGAGTCTGTTCCAGGATCCCTCTCCACACCACGCACGGTCTTCTCTAGAAAGAACTAGCTCTCACTGCAGAACCCAGAACTCAGGAATCTGAGGCACGTTCCCTCACAGGCAAGCAGTAAGAAAAGGGTCTGAAATAGAAGACTGTTTGAGAATCGTGATTAAAAACCAGACTCAACAGATCAGACAGGACGTAGGGAACAGACCAACAAACCTCCGAGGGATGGGGGTGGGAGGGCAGAAGAGATAAACCAAAGGACCTTCATGCACGTATGCACAACCAAAGGACAGACATTAGACTGGGGAAAGCAGGAGGGGAGTGGGAGTTGGGAGGAGGGGGGTCAGTGGGGAAAAAGGGGGGACATGTGTAATGCTTTCAATAAAAAAAAATACCAGACCCCCAGAAGGCCTGCCTCACCCAGAGAAGCAGAATAGCCCACCAGAAAGGCTGCCCTAACACAGTCGGACCTGGGCAGCAGCACCGGTGATCGTGGAGTGACCACGATGAAAAGACCAAGCGAGAAACATCGGCAGGACCCCCAGCCCTGCCCTGCATGGTTTTTATGCCCATCAGCGGCCTAGGCTGGCGACACTGGGGCCCTCCACAGCCTGCAGGCGGGCACTCCCCACACAGAAGGACGCCCAGCCCTCCTGGCGTTTGACAAACACGAGACCCTCACCCCAGCACAAGGAGGCCGAGGCACCCGTCCCGCCAAAGGGAAGACAGAAACAGCTCAGGGGAAACAGACACATTAGAAACAACCCTATTGCTGTCCTAAGGGAAACCAGATAACAGGAAGCTTCCAGAAGAAATGTTCTAGGAAAGACCTGGGAATTCTATCAGAGCGACACTTGCCAGAGAGAGAAGGAAAAGACGGGGGTGACCGCGTCAAGGCACGCGCGCGGAGAGCACGGCCCGAGAGCTGGGCACACACGACAGCCCCCGTCGTCCATGCTGACGGCACAGGCGTCTCCAGCGAGAAGACATCTGACGAGGGACGAAGTCAGCAGAATCAGGAGGCCCTGAGGCCCACACGGGCAACGGGAAAAGCAAGAGCACAGAGGCCGTCGGCCTGAAACGAGAACACCGGGAGGAAGCTCACGCGGCTTCCAAGAGACAGCATCAGGCGTCAGGAAGGACGGGGCCGGGCCGAGACGTCCCCAGACAGGCGGGAAAAGCCTTCACAGTTCCGGGTGCGGGGCTCCCCGCTCCAAGCCCACAGCCAGCAAAACTATTAGCCCAGAGTGAGGGCACAGCGAACTACTTCAGGTCGGGGACTATTAGAACAATGGCGTCAACATGTAAGAACACCAGGGCACCCAGGAAACAGGCCGTCGAAGACCGGGTGCAGGGGAGCCCAGGAGGCAGCGGGCGGCAGCCTGGAGCGTCCAGGTGAGGGCCCGAAACAAGGACTGAAAGAAACTTGGTTGCTGGGGTCCACCGAGAGGACCCTGACGGTGTGACAGCCCAGGAACGAATCGGGCGCAATCAGAAAGCGATGTCCAAGAAAAATGCAGTTAACTGCAAAGAACACAAAGCCACACGACCCCAAACACGCGGTCACAACACACAGACGCAACCAAGCATCAGGGACACTGCGCTGAGAAGTCCCTGAGGTGGGTGCGGCGGGAGCAGGACATGGGTCAACAGGTCCCACCCGAAAAGGGGGAAATCAACATGAAACCACCACCACGCACAGAAAGGTGTTCTCGAAAAGGTGCAGGGGGAACAGGGAGAGAGGGCTGATTTTCACTTTCAGGAGCTTTTGCCATTTGCTGGTTTTTCTAACTAGGAAAATGTATGTAAGTCGTACAGTTAGGGACAGACAGGGCATGACTGTCAGATGCCCACCTACCCTGGCTGTGACGGTCCCGTGCTTCTCTCCCTTGTTGTTGATCATGCGGATGCCGGCCGCCTGGAACATCCCCTTCATCTGCTCGGGGGTGGCAGTGGTGGCAAAGTCCACGTCCTGCGGCTTCACCCCGCTCAGCAGGTCCCGCACGGCGCCGCCTGCTATTCGCAACTCATGATTTTCTTTGACAAATAATTCTGATGAGAGAGACATTTTCATGTCAACGTGTTTCTCTGAAGGGGCACCGGGTACGGTTTTTCCAGCCCACCCCAGCGTCTCCTAGGAGGCCCGAGGACAGGCCCACAGGAAGTGGGTGCCCACCCAGCCACCACACAGGCACACGGAGGCCCTCCTCATGGTGGAGTCCGTGAATTAAGTCGAAGCTGCAAGGCTGACCTATCTTGAGTCCTAATCAGTTACCTGTCTCCCCACTTCGAAGAACCCGTCTTGCTCAGCTTCACACAAGCCTGGCTCACACCGGACCTAAATCCTTGTATCCTAGCTTAATAAAAAATGGGCTTCATTGGAAAATATAGTTTTATAGTTTTAAGTTTTCTTCCTTTGAGACAGGCAAGCGGCAGAACTGCAGTCGATAAAAGTTACAGAAACTGTCCAGGAAGACCACCCCCCGCCCCAGATTTAAGGCTTAGGATCCACAGAAGACCAGCTGGACTGAATAAAGTGACTGATATCACCTACGTGACCCCTAGCTTCATTAGCAGGTAAATAAATACCTGAGCCAGCATGATTAGCATGGGGAAGCCCATAAAAGGTCTTCTGAGACATCTCCAACCTTTTCCCTGAAATTCATTTCCCTTTAAATTTTAAGCTGGCTCACATCTGAATTCTTCCTAGCCAAAGCCAAGAACCCATAATGGGTCCCTGCCCCGGGAACGCATGTATCATCTCCAAGTTAAAACACTACTGAGCAACTTTCAGAATGCAAGCAATAGCCTTGTTTTACTTTCACTGGAACCCCCTTAGCAGGATGAACAAGGTCCACACTGAATGTGAATCTGACGGAAGCCAGGGTTGCAAACCTCGGTGTAGGTCACATTTCCACATACAAACACCTTAACATATTGTGAAGGTGCACTGCACACAGGCTTAGACATGGAGCTGTGCGGCTGCTTCAGCTAGAGCAGCAGCTGACCCTGAGGACAACGAGGAAAAACAGACCTCCAGCAGGATGGGGCTGCTGTGATCAGGACTAGGCGTCTAGCGAGCCTTCCAGGTACGTCCTGCACGCACCGAGGGAGGGCAAACGTTTTCCTCCTGACTTCAGGGGCCTAGAAAGCACCTCGATCCAGGGAGGACGTACACGTTGACTGGCTGGCTCTGAATTCAGACTGTGGAGGGCACAGCCCAGCTCAGCAGGTGTTACACGAACACTGGTGACACCTTTTACATCCTGATCCGTAAAACAGGAGAACACCTACCACTCCTGAAGTTAGTGGCCCGATCCTGTACTTATGTATGTAAGTACTTAGCACAAGAAAAATACATGCTTTTTCCTGGTCATTTCTTGCCTCTTCTCGTGCTTCAGCTAGTGCTTTGAATTACCCACAGTAAGCCTTTCTTTCATTAGCTAAAAACAAAACTCGAAATGTGGCTGAAGGGTGAACCGTCTGCCTCCATGCAGGCAGGCTTCCGAAAGAAAACAGGGGAACCTCTCACCCGTGAGGCTCTTCAGCCCTTCGGTGAACAGTGACTGGAACTCCGGGGACTGCAGCTTCATGGTGAACAGATGTCGCTTCAGGAGGGGCAGTCCTGTCCAGCCACGGCTCAGCCACCAGGGGTGCAGGCACCTCAGCATCTGGACACAAATGTGCGCGCACACAAGGACGGGATTTAAAAGTGGCGAGAAATGGGCACAACTGAATTTTACTGACTCACCGAAGGTGCAGGTGGGACGGGCAGGTCCCGGGGGAGCTCCTGGGCAGGGACTAGGCTCCCAGAGGTCACTCCCTGTCACCAGACCCTCCTGGGGGGCAGGCCGGAGCACAGCGGTTCAGACTCGCGGGACACGTGATCTCCCCGTATCAGCCAATGTACACGGCCTCGATCCCCACCCCACCTGACGCTTCCGGCCGAGGGGGCCGTCCCAGGTCTCCCGAAACAGGTGAGCCCCGGGACCGCCGCCCTTTCCCCAATCCCGCCGGCCGTCGTGTCCCCGAACCCCCACCTGTCCTCGGATCGCCCGAGGCACAGCGCTCCCCACGCCAGGTGGCCCACTCGGCCTCCTCCGCCTCCCCTCGGAATACCCGCGAGGACCGGCCGGGAGGCGGCGCCCCCACACCAGCGCCGCACCGAGGCTCCGCGAGACCCTGGGGCCCAGCCACGGGACGAAAGGCGCGGGGACGCACCGCGGGCTCCGTCGGTTCCGGCCCCGGGGCGGACGAGCGCTCACCACCCCGGCCCGTCTGTCTCGCGGTGGCCCCACGGGTGGAGTGCCGGCCGCTCCCGTTCGCGCCGTCACCCCCGCCTGCGGCGCGCCCGCCACACGCTCACCCGTCTCGCCGCCGACGTTACCCGGCAGCACTTCCGATGGCGCACTCCGTGACGTCACTCACGCGCGCCGGTCGGCGGCCAATGGGGAGTGCCAGAAGAGCTTGGGCGGGGCCTGGGCGGGGCCTGGGCGGGCTCCGTGGCTGAGGCGTGCGCACGCGCGCACACCCTCCCGCCCCCGGGGGCGTCGCCGGACCTGCGCCGGCTGCTTCCGTCACACCTCCCAGCAGCTCTCCCCTGCCCCCAGGTGGTCGCACGCCCTTTTGCATCGCAAACGGGGTGACACCGCTGTCTTTCCTCCAGGAGCTGGGACAGGTCACCCCTCCCTGGCCTTTACTGCTGCTCCGTAAAGGCCAGCCTGCTGCTTCTGCCTGCCCGGAGTCGCGCTCGGTTCTTACCCTCCCGTTCCCCAAGTGTGCTCAGGACGAACGCACTGGAACCGTCAGAGTCAGAGGCACAGCGTCCAGACCTGCAGAGTGTTCGAGACCCGCGCCTCCAGATCGAAGCCGGCCGGCCCTTGAAATCTCTGGGCCTAGTTCCTGTTCCCACCTGCCTGCCCAACCATTGCCCTTCCTGGTCTGCAAGCGTTTGCAGCAGTAAAGTGAAGACATTGCACTGGACTCGGTGCTTTCATTTTTTCCAAAGCACAGAACAGTGAGGAAAGTGGCAAAGGGGTGGCGGTGCCGCCCCGAGTCCTTAAAATGGGGAACTTCCAAGAAATTGTACCGATTATCTTAAGAAAGAAATGACGCCCAGCCGGCGTGGCTCAGTGGATGGGTGTCCTCCCATGGACTGAGAGGTCCCCGTTTCATTAGCGTCAGGACACATGCCCAGGTTGTGGGTTCCATCCCCTGTAGCTGGAGTGCAGGAGGCAGCCGATCCGTATTTCTCTTTACAATGGCGTTTCTCTCTCTCTCCCTTCCTCTCAAAAAAAAATTAATGAAAACATATTTTTAAAAGAAATAAATTAAATCTTCATCTTATAATGTCTATATTTTAATGTTTTATAAGTGTTGTCAATATAACTTTAAATTATCTAATTTCTCTAAAGTTTTTCTTTAAAAAATGTGTGCCATTGTGTTCTGTGGCTTCCAATGATCAGACGCCCTGGCCGGTTTGGCTCAGCTGTTAGAGAGACCCGGGTTCGGTTCCTGCTAAGGGCATGTACCTCGGTTGCAGTTTGTCCCCGGCCCTGGTTGGTCGTGTGGGTGGCAGCCACTCGATGTGTCCCTTTCATGTCGATGTTTCTCTCTCTCTCTTCCTCTCTCTCCTTCCCACTCTGTCTGAACAAAAAAAAAAAGGAAAAATGTCCTCGGGTGAGAATAAAAAAAATTAAAAAAAAAAAAAAAATGTGTGCCATTGTGTTCTGTGGCTTCCAATGATCAGACCTCCATCTTCAGGGGTGTTAAGTGTCCCCTTTGGAGAAGCACAGGACGAGCTTTCAAAATTGCCATACAGAGACACAGCATTGATCCGATCCAACTTCTTAACCCAGTAATGATTACATATATCCTGTACCTACCCCAACTAGATGGACCGAGAAAAAAAATATAGAATTCAACATAAAAGAGTATATAGTAGTGCAGATATCAATAAGATAAAAGGAGACATTATGGACAATTTTCCACCAATCAGTTTGACATTGTAGATGAAATGGACAGATTCTTTGAAAAGTGGAGCTTAGCAGAACTGAAACAAGATGAATTTTAAAATCTGAATAGCCCTTTACTATTAAAGAAATTGGATTTTGTTCAACAAAGATAATTCCAGGCCCAGATGTTCTCAGTGGTCAAATTTATCAACCACATAAGGAAGAAATAACCCCAATCTTGCACAATTTGTGCTCAGAAAATAGAAGAGGGAACACGTTCCCTCTCATTTGAGGTCAGCATAAAACTGATTAGCACCCCGAAATAAGTATTATCAAAAAAGTGTGCAGATCCACATCTACATGAACTCAGAAACAAGTATTGTCAGTAAAACATTAGCAAACTGAATCCAACAAGTTGGGTTAATCAAGGTAAATTCACTCCAAAATGCAGGATGAATTTAACATTTGAAAACCAATCGATGTTATTCATCATAATAGCAGAACGAAAAGGGAAAACTATATGGTCATCCCAACAGATGTGGAAGAAGCACTTAAAGTTCAAAATTCGTTCATGATAAAAATTCTCAGAACATTAAGATTAGAGGAATCCTCAATTTGGTAAAGAGTATCCATAAAAATGTATAGCTGGTATGCCTAATGGTAAAATATTGACCACTTTCCCCCTAATATTAGCAGTAAGACAAGGATGCCCAGCCTCAGTACTTCTTTTCAGCATTTTACCACATTTCATAGGCATTAACATAAGGTAAGAAAAATAAATACAAGATATAACAATTGGGAAGGAAGCAAAAGTGTCTTTGTTTTCACGGACAATGGTTGCATAGACGTCACAGGAATCAATAAAACAACTGTTAGGACTAAGAAGTGAATTAGCAAGGTTTTAGGATGCGAGGTTAATACATAAAAATCAATTGTATTTTATATAGTAGCAGCAAATAGTTATAAGTAAATTCCAGAAACTAAACTTGTGTAATGATGTATATAGATATAGGATATAATATAGGGATAAATGTAACGAAAGCCGCCATATGGTTGGCAACCAAGCATGTGTAAAGATATTCAACATCATCAGTCATTCAGGATGTGCCAGTTAAAACCACAATGAGATACAATTACAGACCTATTGGTATGTTTTCATCAAAAAATCTGGTGGTGGGGAGGATGCGGAGAAAAGGGGACCCTGTGCGCTGTAAGCAGGATTGTAGCCCCTATGGAAAGAGTATGCAGAGTCCTCCAGAAATTAAAAACAGAGCTTCCATAAGATCTAGCAATTCCACTTCAGGGTATTTATCCAAAGGGGGAAAAAAACTAATTAAAAAGATATATGCAACCCTATGTTCATTGCAGAAATACTAGTAATAACAACGACAGGAAGCAATCTAGGTGATCATCGACAGGTGAATAGAGACAGAGGTGTGGTACATATACACAATGGAATATTACTTAAAAATAAAAAAGAATGAAATCTTGCCAATTGCCACAACTTGGATGGACCTAGAGGGTATTATTCTAAGTGAGATGAGTCAGACAGAGAAAGACAAATACTGTAGGATCTCACTGATATGTGGAATCTAAAAAGCAAAATAGACCCTGGCCCAGGAGCTCGGTGGGTTAGAGCATCGTCCCGATAAGCCGGTCAGGCATGTACCAAGCAGCAACCAATGAGTGCATCAATAAGTGGAACAACAAATCGGTGTTTTCCTCTCTCTCCCATTTCCTCTCTCTCCTCCTCCTCCCCCTCTCTCTTTAAAATCAGTAAATTAAAAATAAATGGATAGAAAGTGACTCGGATATAGAGAACACACTGGTGGTTGACAAAGGGGATGAGATGGGGGCTGGGGATTTTTAAAAACCCTGGCAATATCAAGTGCTGGGACGATGGGGACTAACTGGAGCTCTCGTGCATGGTGGGTGAGAATGCAAACTGCTGTGGCCACTTTGGAAAACAATATGGTGATTTGTGGTAGTTCTATATACACTTGCCATATGGCCCATCAATCCTACTCCTAGGTATTTACCTGAGAGAAACAAACTTATTTTTACATGAAGAAAATGTATGTGAATGGTTATACAGTAGTAGCTTTATTGATAACCACCCAAACCTGGAAATAAGCCAAGCTTCCTCCAATAGATGAGTGGACAGGTAAATGGTGGTACATGCATAGAGTGGAATACTACTCAGCAATGTAAAGGAATGAACTACAGTGCACACTAAGGGACACTCGTCTAAGTGTCAAGCCAAGAAAGCCAGACTCAAAGAGCTACTTACAGAATGATTTTATTTATGTGACATCCTGGAAAAGGCAAAACTAGAGGCAGAGCAGACCAACCGTTGGCAGGGACTGGGGGTGACCGGCGGGGTGCACCACACGGGGGGATGGGAGAACTTGGGGCATGTGACGGGATGCTCCTGTGTTTTGATAATGATGGTAATTACATGGCATGTGTGTGTTGGTCAAACACATGGGACAGCACACTAGAAAGGGTCGAGTTTCCTGGATGTAAATTGTATCGTGACGTTTCCAACATCAGCCAACGAAGTAGCCTCCCCGCCCAGAGTATGGAGAGGCACCGAGGGGACACGGAAGGCCTGCTTGGGGTTATGTTTGGTGCCTTTGCTATTTTCTAGAAACATTCTTTTACACATACCCTGTGTCTTCTGCTGAGACGGCTTTTCAAAGCAGTGCGCTCTCATTCCGGACTCGATGTGAGATGAACCTTTCATTTATTTCAGTTTCTCAGTAGCACACTGAAGACGAACCTCTAGTTTGGACTGGACGTTATTGAGAGTTTACCCAGCGACGAAGGTGACTTCTGTGCAAGTGGCCGTGGAGGTGTTCTCACACCCACGTGGAGCTAACTCGTGCGACAGCCAGCCAGCGTCTCCGCTGCATCGAACTGACTGCAAAGGACAGGAAGCTGCACCTGCAGACCCCCTGGGCTCCACGGCTGCCTTTCCCAGCTCCCCTTTGCTTGGGGCCCAGGCTCCTCCACCTGGGGCCGGGGGCAGCTGCGTGCAGCTTCGGGGCCCTCAGAGGGCCTCCCCAGCACCTGGCCAGGAGAAGCTCTCCCAAGGTGAGGGTGAACAAACGCCTTGCCCCCTTCTGAGCTGAGCTGGTGGCTGGTGGCAGCCTGTCTGCCCCATGCCCCTATCCCGGGCAAGTCAAGTGGGTGTTGCCAGGCAAGCACCACGTTCTTGGAACTCAGACACCTGCTGCCTCGTCACCCTCACCCCGGGCCCGGACAGCCCCCAGTGTTTATTCAGAGTTGGCACATACATGGACCCTGTTCA